TAGCAAAGTAAATCTGCCAACAGGTAATGACAGTACAGAACAATAAAACATAAAAAGCGTAAAATGTTTAAAATGACTATGGTAAATGGCATGTACTTGTATACCGATCCCAAAACGTCAGTCATTCATCCATTCTAAAATACATAAAGACATAAAAACGCATGCAACCAGCAATGTGATGAACATAAAATAAACATCTCATGTAACAAAGTGTAGAAACAATTGTTAGATCAGAATCAAAATAACGTCACATTTTGACTCAAGCCATTGCTTTAGGCCTCTGACGAAACATCCATTTCCAACAAAGTCCCTTCTGACACAATAAGGACCAGCTGATCAGCTAAAATGGGGAAATGTGCTCATATTTACATGTTAGGAAACGTAGAGCAGCATTTTGTATTTTGTAGAGATGCAATATAGGAACCTTCAACATTTACATAATACTAAATTCAACACAACCAAAAAAAAAAAACAAAAAAAAAAAAAAACACCTCATCCTGGCAGCAAAACTTTTGATTGAAAAGTGAGTTGTTTTTTTCAAATTTAGTGTATTTCCACGGGTGTATTTAATTCCAATTTGCACAATATTAAGACCAATAGAAATGCAGGAAACGTGACCGACAGGGAAGACGGCCACTGAGAGTCTCTGCTGCTGAAGCTGCGAGCTTCTAGTTTTTCCATGAATGTCAGATAAAATAAGTTCTGTGTTCTGGAACCAGATACTTTCACCCACCTGAGATTGGAGCCAAACCTGAACCTGAGATTGGAGCCAAACCTTAAACAATCCCCTCATTCTGACAACTCCCTACCCAAACAACCACACAACTGACTAAGCATCCCATTCATCCAAGTTTCCGTTTTCAATCGTGTATTAGATTTCACTTATGTTTGATGAGAGCACCGGCTCTTTTGTTTGTTCTTTTTGTGGTGTGCTCGCGCCCCTCCACCTCTCTTTCCTCTTTCCTCCCTTCTTCGCCTCCCTTTCACAGCCGAGCTGTCAGGAGGAGCATGCTGTCGTTAAAAATGAGACAGGGCAACAACGGGGCAACATCTGATTAGCATTCAGTGCACCATCTCCACTCCCCGAGGTATTTTATTACCACAGGTGCAGGGGCATTCACTGATCAGATGCACGCTATAGGCGAGGTTAGCCCTTAATTGAAAACAGCTCTATTTATACACCTGCAGGCACTAAAGGCCCCGAGAAAGCACAGGGAGGCTGAAAAGAAGAGAAAGGAAGGGGGGAAACGCAGAACAGTGACAGAGCTGTGAAAAAAAGATGTGCCTTGGGAGGAATAGTTTAAGGCCCACAGGGAAGGGAATGGCATTCACAAAACAGTATGCTGCCTAGTGCAAAGAAGACGATGTGCTTGCAGGTGCAAAAGTCTGCAGAGAGGAATATAATATATAACTGGTTCATAACAAAGACTGCAACAGGCAGAAACACAGAACTGAACTGAACTTTATCCTATAACGTGGCAGGGAGTTTTCTTTTCCTGAATATGAAACGGCATCTCTGTAGAGTTTGTAGGCTCTGATCTGGCATTGTCCTAATTACCTTCAGTCACACTGCAGAGGCAAAGCTTCAGTGTTTTCAAACAGCAACTATAACAAGAAGTGATGAGGTTCAGATCAGAAAATCACAAAGGGAGGAGAAATCTGCACTGAGACGCCTCAAAACATGGCACTGTTACGGTTAACAAACTCTCTGTCAAAGTCTTTTGCAAGATCCAATATCCAAAGATGGGAAAGTAATGAAAGATGATCAGTTTATAGGCCTTTTCCATGTGGATCTGTAGCAATACTGAGATTTTTCATTTTGTTTGCGCCTCCTCTTCACACGAAAAGGTGAGAAAGCCTTTTAACAAAGGTTGCAACAATGTGGAGAGACTTTAAAACACTATTTGTTGTGTAGATGTAAAAAGTCTATCCACGCTTGTAAAAATGACAGATTTTCAGGAATTAATGCAATGAGATTGTGATAAATACTTTCAAAACTTTTCCCACCTTCAATGTGAAATATCCTGAGTAAATCAACTGAAAAAAAAACAAATCTGTAGGAAGAGAAAATACTAATCATTTGTTGAAGAATATTTAATATGTCAGCATCCCACATCTGCCAGACTTAACAAATTTACCTCTGAACTCTGGCTAGCTTATTGCCAAACTTAATTTCTTCTTTTTTTATGCATGTTTGGACTCACTGAGAAAAATCCCTCTTCATCTTTAGGTTTCCAAAAAAGTTGCTCAGTGTAAATAGTTTTCTGATCATCAATGCACAGATGTAAAATACCAACAAAAAAAATCCCATTTGGTGCATTTTGTTCAGTCGTGTAAAACATACAAGTGATGTCGTTTTGTCCAGTGGGGCTGTCGGGTTTTGTTCAGACTTGGACCGTCTATTGTAAAATAAAAACTTCTGAGCTGAAATGACTCATCAAGATTCACAATTTAAAGTCTGTAAAGCTTCGGCGAGCCTTCAATATTACACTAGAATATTAGGAATGTCATTTCAAACTGCTTTAATCTGAAATTGTGAGAAAAAAAAAATTAGTGGAGCTACCTAATATAACAGAGTCAGCATAAAGTTCATAAACATATCTCAATGTGGTCTCTTGTTTATTTTGTTTGTACATTGTGTGAACAATAATTTCAAAAAGCTTGTGTTTTAAGTGTGTAGGAAAAATCTATTCTTACTGTTTCCATGTTGGATATTTCTATTAGGACAAGTTCTGTTCAGAAAATTAAACAGTAGGGAGGCAGAAAATGTTTCATGACCAGTTTAAGAATACTTTGAGTTAAAATGCTTTTTAAAAATCTGACACTTTCAATTTGATGTTCAGAAGAAAATTTTCTCAGTGTTTTGAGGAAAACAGGTTCTCAAAAAGCAACACTTCTGCTTGTGAGCCCCAAATGGATCGCTGATTACAGGCAAAGTTCTGTATGCATAACAAATATCTAAATGAATAAAAACATAAATTCTTTCTGGAAAAATGAGTCTTCTTGTTATGAAATGATTCATCAGTTTGAAGTCAGTTTGAAGCATCAGAGAAAGAAAAGCCAACTTCCCCTCTTTTCCTTTCCTCCCAATTAACTTCCCGTAAACGTCTAAAATGTCTGCAAAGATTTTTGGTGTAATATTCCATTAAAACACGTGACTGTTGACAGGAAATCTGTTTTACTGCATTCCAAGCTGCGTTAGGACCTCACAAACACGCTCTGGGCCTTTCAAAGGAGCCGCATGGATGTAGATCTTGGAGAGCGAGCAAACTGCTGTGTGTATACAACATCCCAATGTTCCCGCACATTTCCCCGGATCCTGTTGAGACAAGATGAAAGGCTCTGAGCCCTAATATCACTGTAACTGCAGGTGTGGAGGCTCCCATTTCACCAGTGTCACTGATGTTCGCAGACGTTTCTGGGAGAAGGGCGGGGGACAGCGCTGAGACATCTGCACGTTTGGATAAGCATCTGAGGGTTCAATCAGATTCAGAACCTCGCAGGTAAATGTTTGGATACTCTGAAGCCCTGTGTGTGTAGGTGTGTGTGTGTGTGCTCTTAATTGTCTGTTCTGGCTTGTCATCAAAGGAGACATTACAACCACAAGTTTGTGTGGAAACTGAGAACAATATCTGTGTGATCACTTTCCTCTGAAGGGCAGTTTGCTGGAAACTCCGCTTAGCAGGAATGTGTTTTGGCCTGTTCATGCTAATAGCTTTTAGATGAATTTAGACACCGTGCTCCAATAAAAACCTTGTCTACATGTGTAGGGGAGATGATAAAATGCTCCCCTTTGTCCTCTCTTCAACATATAAAAAAGTAAGGATTAAGAAAAAAAAAAGAACAGAATCCAATGAATTTTGATTATTTGTCAAAACTAGACAGGAATCTTACCATAAAATGGAGGAAGAAAAATCTGTCAAGACATTTCGCTATTAAATTTCACAGCTTTTCTGTCATTTTCAAACGCTCCAGAAACTGGACAGGATATGTATTATCTTTACTGCTTCAGCTCATGTGAAATTATGTGGAACTTTATTATAGATCTAATGGGAAACTGGAAATCTGCCTGCACACTAAGTTACAAAAAGAGAACAGAAAAATTAAATATATACACAGTTTAAACTGAAAAGACTAGCAAATCAATCAATCAATCAATCAATCAATCAATCAATCAATCCATCCATCCATCTATCCATGGCGTCCTGCATCTATCAGTCTCCTCCATCTATCCGTCTCCTCCATCTATCCGTCTCCTCCATCTATCCGTCTCCTCCATCTATCCGTCTCCTCCATCTATCCGTCTCCTCCATCTATCCGTCTCCTCCATCTATCCGTCTCCTCCATCTATCCGTCTCCTCCATCTATCCGTCTCCTCCATCTATCCGTCCATCTGGACTGTGAACAGAATGGCTTTTTGAAAATGCAAAGATCAGACCCTGATGTTTCCATACCAGACATCCTCTACTCCACCTCAGCGTTGTGATTTTGTCCTCGAACACCACAAACAGAAAACGAATTTAACATGCCCCGAACAAAACTCATTCAGAGATCTCACTTTAACTACCAAGAAACCAGTTATAAATACAAACTTTCCAGGCATTCCTGCATCTTCACCCACAATCGCTACAGGCAAATTTGGAAGCCTTCTCTAGATCCGAAAAAAAGCACAAACTGGAATGATTACTACAAGAGTCAAGATTTGGTCCAGCTTCGAACAGTGCTGTTTGTCTGGTGTTGGCGCGTTTTGTGTCTGTCATTTGAGTGTAATTTGATCATTTACCAGCATAGATGTCAGAAAAACTATTTTTCTGGGTGATTTTGTATTTCCCAACAAATTCTACAAATTCAAGTTTTACTAAAACAACCTCAATATTTTACTGAGTAAAAAAATTATCAAACATAGAAGAAGAATTTACGATATTAGTGAAATTAGCAGGTGGTTTGTGTGCATCCTGTTAGTCACTCAGATAGCACGCTTTGCCGAGAAGCCAACTCACATTGGGCGGCTCCTGCTGTAGAAAACGCTGCTCTGTTCAGCCTTTGCAGCCTCTGCAGCTGCTTTCCTCTCCTCGAATTCCTCCCTGCTCAGGATCATGCCCTTGTGGCTGTGCTCCACCAGCTTGCGGGCCAACTCCCTACTCTGCAACAGACAAGGAAAGGTGAGGAGTCAGGCAGTGAGAGACGGGAAGGCCTGGAGTTTGAGCTGGACATCGTCAGGAATTGTCCCTCTTGGATTTTTGGCACAGTTTTAGCCAATGTTTAGAATTTGTTTGTCGTGCTGGTGTGTGCAGATTTAAGCTATTTCACTACCACGCCCAAATTATAAAGCACAAAACCTGCTATGCGTCACCACAAGGTTTAATTTGTTTTTGTGTGTGTGTGTGTGATTTGATGCCTTTTCTTAGACTCATTCATGCTCTAAATGTGCATGTGTTTCCGTGTGTGTGTGTGCAAGCGAGCGTGTTTCTGCGTGGATTTTTTCTAATCACCGTTTGCAGACCCAACGTCATTGAAGCCAAGCCATAAAGTCATCATCTAAAAAGCTAATCTTGCTGTCAAATCCAGTGGCTTGTTAGATCAAAGCATCTGCCACATGTCCATTTACCCCAAGCCCCAGCTGGGATCCAAGAGGAAAAGTTCTATTTTCCTCTAACTTTGATGTGGCGCACCAGAAATGAGTTTCAGACATGTGCTGCTCTGAAAATTGGCTTAAAAATCTGTGTCGTTATTCTGGGACTCATTGAATCAGTCTATTTAAAAGCAGCAGAACAGTACCTGGACTAATACTCTGTGACTCTCGAACATGTATTTTTAACTTCTTCAGTTCTCTGTGCATAAAGCATTCACTCCGACACGACCTAAAGACCGCAGTATGTGAACAAATAGGTTTATAATAAGCTGATTTATCAGAGGTCTGCCTTTCTGCAGAGGTTAGGTGACCTGTGACCTGGAGTCACAACACACGGTGGACTGAGTTGGATTAGCAGGTCAGATATGAGTTGGTCTCTTCTCTTTGTGGACACAGGTGTTCAAACAAACTGCTGGAGAAACTCCACATATCATTAGCAGGTGCGCCATCTGCTGGACACAAGCAAAATTATTCATTTTAATCCTTATGAGATTAATACCGTTTAATCAGTGATTTTCATATAATGGAAGAGCAGACATTAGCACAAATACGACCTGTCGGTGAGTTCATATAATTAGTTAGACCCAACTAACTAACTAAAGTTCAAAATGACTACCTGCTTCAGCACGTGAAGGTTTTCTGGATTCAAAGTGGCTGGTTGAACCTGTGTGTGGCTGCCATCTAGTGTACATTAGCGGTTACTACAACAACAAAACTTTTAAACGTGAAAGTTATTTTTTTAACAAAAACAATTTTTCACATAAGCGTTTTTGTTTAATTTATAAGCCACATTTTTATTTCATATCTCGCCAACATTTTGCATGCTTTTTGAACAGTAGAGCTCCGAGGAAGCACATTAATGGCCTTTTGGAGACATTTTTTACCCCAACAATCGTCGGCTTGTCGCCGTCCTCCAAACATTTGGTGTGAACTTTGCTCTTAAATTGACACGAAATGTTTAAAACACGCCGAAATGAGAAGAAGGTCCCGGTAAATCCGAGAAGAAAGAAAGAAATGCCTCAAACCGCGCAGTGACCAATGGCATGGATATGACTTTTAATTTCATATCACTTACTTTTAAATAATATAAATCCGTTGGAGTGATTTTCGAGTCCAGGTAATCTTCATAGTCTTTAAAGTTGGCGAGGAAATCGTAAAAGCGCTCTGCTCTGTTGAACTCCATCTTTTGTTTGAAAGTGCTGCCGTAGCAACCGCGTTGGGGAAGCGGAAGTGACCTCAATGATGGTCTTAAGGCGCTCTATGACTTGAAGGATGAAGGTTTACAGTTTTCATTCGACACAGACCCACAGAGTAAGCAGAACATTATGACCACTGACTATCTTTTTATCATAAGACCAGTCAGCAGGCGGGATGCATTGAATAAGTGAAAAGTTAATGTGTAAAAACAGTAAAACGCGCCAGATGTAATTGCTAATGGGATTGAATGTTTTTCTGATAAAAAGGTGAAAAAAAAACACTTTTTTCTTTACTGTATTACCACCCTGAAGGCAAAAGGCTAAGTCATCTGTGTCCAGGATGTGTGAGGTCTGCAGGTGCAATACCTGATTGTCTTTAGTCCAGAGTCACTACAATTTACAAAACATTTGAGTTAACAGCTCTGAGACTTAAATTCAAGGTTTAACTTGTATCTGTGGTTCTTTGTTGCCTAGTCCTTGTCACAAAAACAAACTTCAGGAAAAGAAAATGGATTTGGCAATGACAACAGAAACAGATAAACTAAGAAATAAAAAAAACTGTATTTGGGACAATGAGCCATTTCTCCAGTTCTGTTGGATCTTTGCTTAATTTTTTCACCGCGTATTTTATGAAGACATTCAGATCCTGTTCATCTCCTGTAGAGAGTTGTTTCTAAGTTTCACCTTTCTTTTTTTCTCCATATTTTCATTTGCTTTTGTCATTTGTTGACCCACTAAGCAATATATTGCCACAAAAAGGTAAAGACGAGCAGAAAGGGAGATAGAAAGTGACTTTGAAAGACCCTCAGGAAACCCAGACAACTAATCAAACCAATTTAAACGATTTTCTTCTTACAAAGAAAGGCAAAAAGAAGCAGCTGTGGTCTAAACTTGTGCCCAGAACTTTAATCTTGCTCTTTTATCCAAAGTTAGATTTAACTGTGAGACAGGATTAAACAAAGGCTGACAGAATGCAGCTTGTTTCAGACTGTATGTGGCAGCTGCTGCAGCATCCCCTGCTGGATGGTGGGAAAAATGCCTTTTCAGTGACAATTATGGAACATGGCAATCTGTTAGACATGAAAAAGTGTCAGTGAAGGTTAGTCATCTGCAGAAATGGTCAACATTCTGCACCTCTGTAATGCTGGATTAAATGATAGACTGTTAATCCTGAGCTGATTCTCCCCAGCTCACCTCATCCTAATATGTAAATCAGCCCACCTGTCCTGTGGCTGTCATTTACTGCCACAGTGTATATTTAAGAGTCGGTTTTCAGGGGTCCTCTGGTTTGTTCAACCAAGAAAAAGAGTCTGATGTAGGAAGTGGATCTTGTTCATCAAGAGTTCTGCAGATCAGCAACATGATTCACAGTGGCGGCTTCAGCTGTTTCAGACACTTGCTGCTCACCGTTTACTCCTGCTGATCAATTCATTATTGATTGATGGACTGGATCAGTGGGTGTAAGCTGCTGATGCTGGAGTACACTGGTTCAGATGATGCCGTTTGGTAATCTGGGTGAACAAAGATCACATATGGGGTTCTTCAGGGCTGCATTTTTGGCCACTTTTATTAAACTTCTAAAAGTTCTTCCTATTATAACATGTCTTCCCTACATTCAAGCTCTACATTTTTGCCACCACATAAACAGAATTTCTGACTTTCTGAGTCAGTCTGTCCAAAAGAAGGTGAAAAAAAAACCTTTTTTCATCTTGATGAATGTAAGACAGAATTTAATTTTAATTTTATATTTTGCTTCAGAAGTTAAAGATTAACATTCAACTTCACCCAGCAAGAACAAAAACTACTGAGCAGATCAGGAATCTTTGGTGAGTTATGGACTAAGACTGACATTTTCAATGGCATAATTTTGAGAAAACAGGAGAAAGAAAAGTTCATGGAGGATTTTTCTTGACCAACACTGAAAAATGAACAGACTGATTAATAAAGAAAGGCTGTTAAAATCTTGTTTTTAAGTCTGTAAGTTAATAAATGGTTAATAAACGCATTTCCTGATCAGTCTTTGCTCCCAGAATAGGAAAAATAAGGAGGTAGCATTTGGTTTATATGCACATCAGCTCGAGAATCAAGTCCCTCAAATCTTCTCAAAGTCATTACAACATGCAATGCAAAAGAGCAGAGAAGACAGTTCAGCTCAGAATGAGAACGGCACAGGTTACACATTTATTTTTCATTGCATTACTCAATAATTAAGTGGGATTTTATTTCTGGGTAAGAAAACACTGTCTGACCTCAGAAATTAGACAAAGCTTGCATGACGATCTTTAAAGATGAACCCAAAGAAGCAGCAGGTTTAATTGTGTGATTGTTACATATTTGGCTACTAAATGAGATCATAAATGGAGCGTCGATGAGAGGAAGGGAGGTAAAAAAGCAGCTGAAGTCCAAAGAAAAACTTCAGAAACTCTATCATAACTAAAATATTAAACAGTTGTCTGGCTGCCTCAGAGGAAAATATGAAAAATGAAGAATGTTGCTAGTGATTATGTGATTTTGCTATAATAGTTCCCTTTCTATTTGCTTCTTTGACTGATTACTGTAACATTATGCACAACTCCAGTAAAAACCAAACATTTTCTTAACTTCTAAACATCCATGAAACTGTTGGATGTTCAGCATAGCCTTTAAAACTCAACGTGAGGTTTGGCTGTTCATGCATCATCAGAAGAGAATCACAATGTTTTCTTTCTCTGATTGAACAACTTCAAATGTGAATGAGGTCAAATGTTCCAAGAGAGGAGAAATCCCACCAATCTGCACCTCTGCCAGCAAAGGGAGGATCCTGGTGAGTGAGACAGAGTCAGGAATGTTTTACACTAATGTAAAGCAAAGAAAAAAGAAAAAAAAAGTTACGGTCCCAAAGGTTTCAGATAAGATCCACTCTCTCAAACCTGTCAGCACACATATCTTTCTGTCATTAAAGCACCATGGACCCTCTCTAAATACCACCTTGGGATTACAGTGAGATATAATATCCTCTAATGTTTCAGTAAAAAGCCTGAAAAGCAATTAGACATTCATAGAAATGAGTCAGTAGAATACACACAAGGAGCAGAATCGTTTTCCCAGATGCCCTGTGCAGCATCTGATAGGGTCATCCACAAAAACTTTAATATTTGTATTGCATTAAAGATTTTTCTTTATACAGTTGTTTTCCTTAAAAAAACAACTCATATACAGTTTCTGAATATTTTGAAGCCACTTTCATCAGGAAAAGAAGCAAAAAAAAAACAAAAACTTTTCAACGATTTTCCCATTTAAGTGTGGATGTAAAGGGAATATTTTGCAGGATATGGATATTTTATTTACGCATTTATCTTATGCATAAATCCCAGATATTTTTGCTCACGTTCACAGAATGTGTACCTCTCTGCAGTAGGACTAACGCTTTAAATTCACTCCAGGTCTCAGAGTATACATATCACAAGGTGAAATTGGGTTGCTTTTTATGTTTTATTAAAAAAAATAAAACACTTTAAAATAAAAGGAGTAATGAATGTTTTGAAAATAAAAAAATATTCAAATGAATCTGGTAGGACAAGTTATTAATGTAAACATGATGTGTTTAATAAGGGAGCCCCTTTTACCTTACGTTTTTTACAGTCAGTTAATGTTTGTTTCCTTCCTTCATGGTCAGTCCACGGCTGTTTGCCATCTGATACCACGGCTCCAATCCTCCTCAGCATCTTTATCCCTCTGCTGATGACAGAGAGGGAATGTCCTGAGGTCAGGACTCTGTTTTTTTTTTTTTTTAAGGGACAGCCGGTCTCCAAAATGAATTGAGTTTTTGTGACCTTTCACATTGAGAGGGGAGTCTCAGTGTTTTCAGCCTGATTATAACAAATTCAGTGTTAGGAGAGGGACAGTTGGTCAGTATCTCAGGTGGGATTTTTCTTTGGGAGCCATGATAGAGCTAAAGAAAAATACTTTATGGTTTGCATGATTTGAGTTTTCTATTAAAGTGGAAACCTACAACCACAGACAAGTATGTAATAACTTAAAGCTTTGTTTGACTGTATTTCCTATGTTTGGGTGTCTGCAGCTTAATGTTGTTATCTATACCAATACAACTTGCTGTGAAAACTGTGTCCCTTGAGGTATTTTATGGAGACAAAGCTGTGCTTCACATCATTTATATTCCAGAAAAACAGGAAGTGATGAGTTAATAATTAAAAGTTACTAGTTAATCTCATCAATTTTAAAAAGCAAAAAATGTTTTTGCATTGATTTCATAGAAAAAAACTTATGGTTCCATTAAGTGTGCCATCAGTTAATTGTTCATTTCTTAAAATTACAGGTTGAATTTTACAAAAAACAAACAAAATATACATATAAGTTTCAGGTTAACCTGCAACAAAAGCTGTTTTTAAGGACCTTTAATTCTTTTTACCAAGGTGCTAATAATTGTGGAAGGAGCTGTTTGTTTGTGTTCCTTTTTGTTATTAGAGATTTTGTTTTGCTACCAAACAATTGATGTTGGAAAATCACAAATCTGCATTAACCTATGTTCATTTATTATTGATGCAAAATTACATAAGAACATCAAATATTTTAGTTTCCAAACTACCCGATTAATTTAACTCTTCAACCCGAAGCTGTTGCATGTGTTTACGGTCATGTGTTAGTGCGTGAAGCAAAGAGGAAAACCTAATGGATTTGTCATTTGTCATTTATTAAAATATATAACTTTTTCGATTATTATACAGAGGACATGGAGGACGTTAGACTCACAGTCCAGGACCATTTGGGTGAAATGATGGAAAGTTCTGTCTAATTGGATCCAAACCAACTTCTCCAGGACTGATCAGAACCTCATCCTTTGAACCAACTTATTTGTTTTCATGCAGCCATGCTTTCTGTGATTTTTTTTATTTTTAATATATAAGAATTATAAAACAAGATGTTCATCTGACACATAAAAACAGTTTTGTGTAACATTCAATATAAAAACAAAAACTTGTTACCTGATGTGTTCAGGTAGGATTTTTGCTTTAAAAGCATCATAACCAGAACTTTAGCGATGATGTACAACAGGATGGAGCAAAACAGAGTTAAGTGCAAAAAAAACTTCCACCCGTCAACACAGATCCGAGCGTCAGGCTGACAGTTCCTGGCAGCACTTTGGGTTTGTTTTCCATGCTACATGGAATCCTGGAATGACTGGAGCATCAGAAATGACTTTTGTCCAGTTTGTTTAAAGTTTATTCTTCTGGTCCCTCCTTTGCAAACTTATCCGAACCTGAACTTGGGCCAGTATTTGACCTGTCTGCGTCTCTGGACTGGTCCTGTTGGGGCATTCGAGATCACGGCTGGGATTCTGGGGGGCGACGGTGGTGGCGCTTTCCTCCTCTCTTCGCTCCGCTCTGTGATGGTGAAGCCTTTCTGGGTAAAGTCATGCAGGCTGGCCCTGGGTAGGAAGTGGGTGGAGACGTGCTGGGATTTGACCCGTGGACTGGAGCCCATTTTAGCTTTCCCCCGCTTATTGAGGGCAACATACCACTCCCGACCGGTCCTTTGGTTCCTGTAGATTACAGAAGCGTAGGTGTTGTAGCTGTTCTCCTGGAAACGTTCCCTGAACTTGCAGTCGTCTGAGAACCATTCCTGTGAAAGAGAGAAAATAAAAAAGCATTAGCAGGTTTAAGTTCAAACAAGTCGCCTTTTAATATAAATGTTTGTTTGCAGAACACTTTGACTCCTTCTCGGAGACTGAATTTATTTAATTATTGTCATTTTCACTCAATTTAAAACTCTTCTTAAAATAGAAAATGTTAAATACAACACAAAGTATTTATTTATTTTCTGTTCATTGTAAATATCTGGCAATGTTTGCCAGGTGCTGCCAGTTCTGCTATTATTTAACTTTAGCTAAATGTAAACATAAAAAAAAAAAAATCTTATACTTGTTGCTGAGAGCAGAAAAGACAATAACCAGTGAACATTCCCTCCAAATCTGTAAACTGCATGTTTTTTTCTTTTGATATAATTCTGCAAAACCCTGTTTATGTTTTGGATCTACAATAATTAATACATCATGTTGCTAGTATAGTTTAAAGTTTACTAGATCAAAAATCTGTTCTTTTTTTTTCATTTAATCACATTTTTGGGGCCTAGAGCACTTCTGACTTTAAGATATTTGCCCATGTGGCAGAAAGTTTGAGCAACAAACGGCCAAAACTCCTGCTTTTTATACAAACCAATGTGTACAATTAGCAGGAAATGGTTGCTAAAATCCTTCTTCTATATTAAAGTGCTTGAGTTCATTTCTCTTTTCCTGTTATGGATAAATTAGTGTGTAATCTGGTTTGCATCTTAGATTAGATCACATGTATTTATTGCATTCATATTAAAAATCCCAGCTTTGTATATAAAACATTCTCCAAGCATATCTGTACTTGCCCCACAAATGACTGACTTTAGTAAGTGGAAATGTTTCACAAATTGTACCAAAACCTTGAAGAGAAACTTGTTCTGTTCTCAGAAAACAGAGAACAACACAGAAAAGAAACAAACCCATTAGGTGTTCCCTGCTGTACCCAAGAATATCCCTGATGGGAAACTTTCAGAATGTACAGATGCTTTCCTTCTCGCGGGGGTTTGACTTTTCTTGTTGAACCTCATGGCATTTTGAAGAAAAATAAGCAGTTCTGCTTTGCTGAAGAGCGCAGCATAGCAGAAAATGATGCCATTCCAGCGCTTGGTAAACATGCCAGTCACAGGAGAGCCTACAATCCTTTGAGTTTTTCTAAGTGACCAATGCTTCCTTTGGCTTGTTGTTTTTAAAGATGATTAGAAAATTGCTTGGCGCTCCAGAGTCGTCGCTGCAGCTGGAATGAGGTGGTTTAACAGAACCGAGCAGCATACCAGCTCTGGTACCAGTCAGGTATTTCGACATTTGGAAACAAAGCCGCCGGAGTGTGCACCAATGAGCTCTCACACGCAGGCACATACGCAGAGGAGAAACGCCACGTCTGCTGGCCTTCACCGGTTCATTAGCTGCAGGCGGATTCCAGGATTCCAGGATTGGTTGAATCCTAAAGCAGGGTCACACTCCTCAAGACCTTTTCCCACGAGCCACAAGTTTTACCTTGTGTTTATATTTACATCTGCAGAACAGAGATGATTTAAAGTTACCCTGACAGTCTAATGCATCATCTTTAGGGCTGAAAGTGGCTGATTTTCAGGCACAGCTAGGAGAAAAATAACAAAACCTCTTTCTAGGGTATCAATGTCTGAATCTAAATAGAATGAAAACAATCACGTCTCTTTTGCTCAAACAAGCTCTTGCTAATGAATTTATTTCATCAAACATTGCAAAGGAAATCAGCTTGGGTTTATGATGATGTGTGATGTCACCCCCTCTGCCCCATTCACTTATCTTTTCAGTCTCTGCCATCTGGCAGTAGACTGGGAGTTGATGGGAGCATCTTTCAGAGAAAACGTGAACTGATCCTTTTCTTCCCAAGCCTAGTGAGAAATGTTGCTGTTATAAAGGTTAATTTCGTAAAAATATTAATTTATCTTTTTCTTATTATTTCTTCTTGTGAAGTCTTGTAATTTTAGTCCTAATATTGTTAATTTTGACTCACCTTATGTAATCTCATCAAATGCCTGGTTAGGTGTTTTCTCACTTTTTCTCATCTTGTCTAGTCTTAATGTTTTTTAAATCATCAATCTCCCTATTTCAGTTTAATCTCATCTCAACTCAAAATATCTGGTGTTGTCATTCATTATCTCATCGCTTGTCTCATCCATTTAATCGAATAATTTTTCAGGTGATCTTACAATGTTTCATCTAACGTTAGTTGCGTTTCCATTAAAAATGTGTGAAAAACTTCATTGATATTGTGCTAATGTTGAAAAAACACAATTTTGCAAGAGCTAAAACAGAAAAGCAATTAAAATCACACATGAATTAGTTTATTCACTCCATGAGTGATTAAAAGACATCCTCCCACCATTTCCTGTTCTCTTCTTTGTCATTTCCGCCAGTAGCAACATCCAGTTGTTGATCTCATGAGTCATTTGTTGTGAAAAAAAATATTTTCATCGCACCGTTGCAAAGCACAATAATCTCACTTCAGCCCCCAAAAATCACCAATTTAGTTTTTCCAAATTGCTGTTTTTCTATTTGTTTTCATAATTGAAAATTCTGAAATTTTAAGGTCAACCGAAACACAGCTAAAGTCTTGTTGTTTTTCATATAACCTATATGACTCAACAAATCTTGTCTAATTATGTTTTTCTTCACATCTGATCTTATCTGAACTTAGGCTCTCTGGTGTTGAGGTTCTTTGTCTCATGTTGCAGCTTAGATTTATCATTGGTGTTAAAGATACGAATGCAGAGGATGAAGAATGTAACTTGACTGTGAAGCCAGAGGTTTTCTGTAAACACCAGATTAGAGTTTTACTTCTGCAAATATTTATCGGAGAGCTCTCGGCTCCTCAGGCTAAAACAGAAAGAAATAAATCTCTGATCTAGTAAAGCAGTAACAGAAATTTCTTTTACCTCCAGCTGCATTTCCATTGACCGTAAAGTTATGCAAAGTGGAATCCTGAAATAATGGAAGAACATACTTTTATTTATTTTTTTAAATCACGTTTTTCTGTAAAAGGTTTTTGCACTAGGATGAAGTGGTTTTTCAGCCGTATCAAAATTGATGCATGTGTAAAACTGCAATTGAACCATTACATGAGTCACTTGATCAACAGCTGGATGTTACTACTGGTGGAAACCATGAAAAAGAAGACAGGAAATAGAAGGAAGATGATCGGTCTGCGTGTTTTTCAATGACTTATGGTGTGAACAAATTTATTCATGAGTGATTCTAATTACATTTTGTATTTAACAGAAACAGCATATTAAATTGTGGGAGGTTTTTTTCCATCATTATCAACAGAGTTCTGAACACATTTCTGATGGAAGCACAGCTTGTGATATTCAAATTGTCCCAAAAGTGGAAGTGAGTATTTACTTTGAGGAATAACGGCTCATCCCTTCCCACTGACATGATTTCCTGAAACAGTACGAGGAGCTGAAGCGGCAGAAGTCGCCTGTGCTGGGCATCAACTCTCTCAGCAGACTGTCCGGCTCTGAGCCCGCTGCCCTCCAGCTGATTGTTTACCCGCCATATTAATTTTCACTCCGTGGCTTGCTCCGCTGCATATTATCAGACGTCCCAGACTGGACTTAATCTGTTCTTCCCATTAACACTCGCTAACTGGGAGTCGCTTCTATCTGTTCGCCTGCCAAGGCTCCCACAAATGACTTGCTGGTGATTCTGACCACTGACCGGTCGGCCGGCCAAGCTGCTGCGGCAAGATTTCAGCTTGCTGTGCATTCGGGGGGATTTAAGAACCTCCAAAACAGCAGCTAAAGATTACAGCAGAGCGCCAGCGTTATGACATGCTTACGTCAGATTCTGTGGTTTTCTGCTGCAGATGCCAAGCAGCACAAACTCATAAAACAAACATAGATCCGTCAGGAAGGAATTCCATGGAGAACCGTTTCAGGAGCAAAGGATGCTCCGCTGTAGCCATGAAGGAAGAACAGGCAATGATTTCATGTTAGATAAAAGAACAGCAAGTATTCCTGCTGCACTACAAAAACACAAAGTCTCACCAAGTATCTTTGATCTAGTTATAGAGCAAATATCTTGGTACATTTGAAATAAGACGAAATAAACTTCCAAATCATTGTTCAGAGAAATATTGTGGAGTCATCATTGTAGGGTCAATATTTTCTTAATGTTGATGAAAAACAACTGGCGGTGAAGTTTTACCTTTTTGCTGCTCCTATTTGCATTATTTGCTGCATATCACATCCACAGAGCCACTGTAGGCTGTCTTACACACCGTTTCATGAGCAAAGGCTAAGCTAACCTTATGCTGGAAATTTTACACACATACCAACCAATATATGGGTAAATGTGAACTGAATGCTAGATGCTAAAAGATTTGCATTTTGAGTTGTAAGTGAAATAATATGCCTGTGTAACTCGTACTTTTCTTGCTGAAAAGTTATGTTTAAGTTAGTTCTGTCTTAATGCAAGTATAGTGAGACATTTGCACTGGAATCTAGACCAAATGTTTTTGTGATTTTGCAGTGCGGCTGGTCCTGGTCAGGAGTTGGTTGCTGATACGTTTCAGCTTTAAAAACAGAATCTTGAGATGCATTATGCAGAGCGCTGTGACTAGAAGATAAACATGATGAATGATTGAGAAGCAAAACAGACACTCTTCCACTTGAGGTGGTTTTCTGCGGCCTAGAGAGGATGATGAAGGTGAGGACATCGGAGAATCTTAACCAGAGGACTGGGAAGGTGAGCGGAATCGGGTTCTGATGCTCCAACAACGTTCCCATCAGAAGCTGTTTTGTGAAACATGCGAGGAGTTTGTGGCGTGTGTGAAGTCCTTACGGTGGCGTGAAGCCGTCCTCTTTTATTCATGGCCAGGAATCTGTTGCTGTAAACCCCTTTGATGCCGATGACGCCCTGAGAAATCGCAATCAGCTCCAGAACACCTGGAAAGACAAAGACCACATCTGGACGACTGAAGGACAATAAAATCAGTTTATTTCCAAAGCTCTCACCTCAGCTCTTTTATTCGATTCAGCTGCACGTTAAAAAGTCTGTTAGTCTTCACTTTGAAATCAGTTTGAAGCAACAGTAGAGCTTAAACATCAGTACTGGTCATTGCTTCAAATGGATAGTTTGGATTTTTGGGTTAAGCGTTCTCAGTATTTTACATACAGAAGCAACTGGAACAAACAAGTTGACTGTTGTGCAGAAAAATAAATTATGAACATTATGGAATAACTTCATTTTGAGAGAAAGACCTCAATTAAACTTCTCCCAGGTACGAAAGCAGTCAAATCATGACACCATCCTCTTCTATTCCCCATCAATCCTTATAGCTGGTGCTGTCCCATTAGTTTCAGCTTTCAAATATGGACAAAAAGTCTGGGCACCTTCTCAATTTAGAGGAAGATTGAGGAAGATGTCTGTGAGCCAAATGTTTGTCATGAGTAATGTCCCAAATTTTCATGCCTCTCAATATGAGCTCTGAGGTTGTGAGGTTTATATTTAAAGCTTCTATAAAACTGGAACAACTGAATATTTTGTGTGATTAAAGTTTCATGTTTGCATGTTTAGGTTTTCCTTTTTATTCATTTGGACTAATTTGGTCTGAAACAAAGGAGAATTTTGTGTTTTATTTGCAACTTAAAGCAATGCATATGATGAAAACATAAAAGTTGAGTTGTATTCTAGTGTCTAGTGGGTTGTTGAGGAAAAAATCAGATCATATCTTAAAAACAATAAGTTTGCTGTAACAAACCAGCAGCATTTGTCTGTAGAAACTGAACAGAATGCAACAAAAAATCTTTTTTTTCTTCTCTGCATTTTTTTAAATTCTGAGATTCATTCAAACTTACAAATTTAAAACATCCTGACTCGTGTTCATCTGCTGCCTGTCAGGCTGCATACACACACACACACACACACACACACACACACACACACACACACACACACACACACACACACACACACACGCACCCCCACACACACACACACACACACACACACACACACACACACACACACACACACACACCCACACACACACACACACACACAGATGGCTGCTGCATTTAAACCGATGTAACCTGACAACACTGAAGAGAGACCATGAAATGAAGGCACACGTGTGCTTCCACAGGGAGCGTCGCCTGTTTCATCAGACCTCAATAAAACCTGAAACACAAATCTACAGGTTTCTGACCAGGACACACACAGTGGTTTACAAAAGAATTCATGCTCATTAAATATTTTTTATGTTTTGACCCATTAAGCATCTGTGTTTATGTGATTTTATGTGCTTTTACATGACATCTAAACATGCCTTTGGATTCAGCTCCATGAGCAAAAACTTTGCAGAATTTTCTTTTGCTGAAATTACAGCTGCAGGTCTTTTGATTGACATTTCTGCTCTTTCTTCTTTGCAGAATAGTTCAACCTCTGTCCGATTGGATGGAAAGGCTGAAACGATTAGTCGGATTCGTCAAAAGAATCATGACGAGTTGATTGTTGGAATAAACCTCAACTAATTTCATAATCGATTAATTGCTAACTGGAGAACGCAAAAAAGGCCATTTGCTGAAATGAACAATATATTCAGAGCAGAATTTCAGCTAAAACAGCACAGAAAACATTTTGCATTTAGGATAAAAACACCTTTGTATGCAAATACGCTTTAACCAGAACCAAAAGGAATGCTGTGTTATTGTATTTTAGGCAATAACATGTTTATTTTCTTGTTTAAAAAAATAATTTAATTATACATTTATTTGCACCTTTTAGTCTGTCTAATATTGTATAAAATTGCTGAAGTGGTCAATCCAATTAATTGATTAGTAGTCAAAATGATCAATTACTAAAATTATCTTTAATTACACCCCTAATGGGGAGCATCAATATTCAAATCTCACCACAGATTCCCAATTAGATTTAGGACTGTACTTTGACTAGGTTACTCTATTGATCTGAAGCATCTAGTTGTGTCTCTGACTGCATGTTTAGGGTGGTTGTCCTGCTGGGTGAACAACAATATATTGTTCATGAATGTCAATATATTGTTGACAACAATATCTAAACAACAATATATTGTTGCTTAGATTTTAAAAATAAAATCTAAACTACTTGGTTTTGCATTTCTGATTAGACAAAAATGTCCTCACTTTTATCTTTGGGAATAAATGCTGAGTAATTTATTGCTGCAACCTGCAGACAATCCACCAAAAGGCCCAACATCATATCCATCGATTATTGATTTTGTGGCTTATTCCATCCATCATGCCGCGTTTCACTCTAAAGGGTTTTAAATCAGGAGGTTTAACTTCCTCTGCGTTAAAGTTTTATCAGACAGACCCTTTTGTTTAAGCAGCATTTATTTTTTGCTGCGCAGTGGAGTCGCGTTGTTGTGATGTCAGTCACGCTGATTTGCAGCCGCGCACATCCCGGCGCCTCAGAGCTGCACCTGTTACTTCCACAAATAGTCTACCTGCCAACATCCCGGACGGACACAAACGAGGCTCGTCAACCTGATGACTTGTGCTGAGATATTTCACACCGCTACTCCTGTGGAAACCATTACTGTTCCAACTTACAGGAATAACATTCATGAAAACATAACCAGGAAACTTGGGGGATAAAGAGGAGTCGCGTCCAGACGTTTAAGATTCAATAGTTAAGCTGCTTTGTGCATGCAGGGGAAGACTTACTCAGCTGGTTGGGCTCATGGCTGCCGTTCACTCTGCCGTCGGGATGAATCTGGAGGTGGAAGCCGATGCCAACCCTGCAGTAGAGCCTGCAGGTCCTGCGTCCCGAGCTGGTCCCCTCCTGAAGGAGCAAAGAGGCGCGCTGCGCTGCGGCCGCGGCGCAAATCCAATGAGCGAAGGTCAGAAAGCAGAGAGGAACGTTCATTCTTCCCAGCAGGAGACTCTCACCACGCCGCGTTTCGCATTTTAACCGATCCAGTGGAGAGGTCAAGAACCCAGGAGGTTTGCGCGCACAGGCGTGCGGCGCGGGTGGGTATTACCCCGGCCGCGGTGCTTCTGCTGGGGATATTTATAACGCCAGTGAGCTCACAGCTTCATGCATGCCTGAGCTCAAAAGGACGCTCTTTCAGCGGGATTTTGTCGCCGAGATGCCACTCCTGCTCAGCACCGACCCACAGCAGCGGGGCGTGAAGGAAGCTCCACCGACACGGAGGTCTTTCCCAGAGATCCTCCGCGCCAGGACGCAGCATTTTACGCACAGAGACTAAATATTTTGAACGGGAGTGGGTCGGTTTGTCCCCGGAGCTGCAGGACGAACGTCTCACCTCCTTTTACCTATAAAGAAAAGTTTAAATCTCTGACTCAGAGATGGGTTTAAACACTGAGGCTTTGTGATGTTTTACCGGCTGCTGAAGAGCTGAATGGACAGAATAAAAACCTAATGCTTCAGTTAAACAGCCATTCCTAATGAATGTGGTGATTTTTACAGAGTCTTCAATACTGTTTCACTTCCAGTTCAGGTTTTTTACCTCGTCACATTAGAAAAACTTTTTGTTCTATTCAGATTTTAAGTGACAGAGACATTAAGTATAATTGCCTTGGTTTCAAGTTTGATTAACATAACTGTGAGTTGAAGGAAATTGATATCTTCTAACTGGAGTTGGTGAAGTTGTGTCTCTTTGGTGGTGGAGCTCTGACTTGGGTTTGCCCAGGGCACCAAATGGGCTCAGACCGCCTCTGCTTGGGAGGCTGTCTTAAAACTAAACATCCTTTAAATTCCCCACCGACCTGCCTGCCGTGTACCTGGGACTTGGCGGTTCTGGCTTTTCACTAAAGTTCTCTAACAGACCTCTAATACCAGAAACAGAACAGCTGGATTCACACTCAGATTAATTTACTTACAGATGGACGATGTTTACCAGAGAGGTGAAAATTAAATAAGATTTGTACATGAACAGATATCTAGAAAAGAGTTTTCTTTTCTTCAATCATATAAAATTAAACTAATGTGCTAAAGTTTGATGTCACTTGATTAAAAAGTTGCAGAAGTAAATATCTAAATCAAAGTTCTTAAAAACTGGTTAAGATCTGCACATTTGCTCAACAACAAGTGATGAAGACTGACTAGTAGGTCTGAAAACATGATCACTGAGATAAAACTGAGGACAAAGACCTGAACGTTTCCCTTTTCATGGACTTGTGTTTGCTTTTCAACAGCGCAAATTATTTAAAACTTGAGAAATGTGCCACTTTCTTATAAAGTTATTAAAATTCTTTGCTCATTTACAGTTTCTAGAGCTGTTGTCCTCTGAGAACTGAATCATTCTGGTATAAAATGGTTCTGAAACCAAAAGGAAGACATGATGTAATGTCGACACATCACAGAGCTGCTATAAGAACTCGTTTAAATTGTTAAATTCTCCGTGCTCTTTATCAGTTGCCCATTTCAAACACACAATTTGGACAAAATTTCTTTAGTCAAGCATTTGGAAAAAACCCCAAAGATGGATATCACAGTTTGACAGACAGGAAACAGGATTTTAGCTCCAGCAAGATGCGAATGAATGTGTATAAATACAGATATATATACACAAATCACGTTTATACTTATATAATGTTGTAATTTCTTCTGAAATAAATCGACACAAAATTTTTTCCTCACAAAAATAAAACCAAAGTTTCGAAAGCGGCAAATAAATGGTTTGATAAGCTGCAGCTGAGAGATAATGATGGACTCCTTTGTGGCTCAGACAAATTGGATTGTCTGTCTTCTCTCTCTCTCTCTCTCACACACACGCACACACACTCACACGCACACGGTCAGAAAGAGATATGCCTTCATCTGGGTACTTTAGTCCAATCAGGCTCAGCTTGCAGAGCCACAGGCCAGGTGTGCAGATCTGAACATCTTTATTTTTTACTTTTTAAATTGTTCTCATAATCATTCTTATTATTATCAGTCCTGTTATCTGATAGATTGCAAAAAGTCATAATTTCATGACTTCAGATGCAGAAATATGCTTGATTATCTCTTGGGCTGTTTCTATGTTCTAGAGGAAATTAATCTAATTCATCTACTGTCACAACAAACATACTGAGACAAGTAAATGAACTATTATTCCAACAGTAGTGAGATTATTTGCTTAGAGGATTACCCAGGGTCACCTGCGCCTGTCAGTGATGCTCAACTCTATATTTTCTTGGTTGGATCTAAAATAGTAAAGATTTTAAATGCAGATCAAACATTTGAATATTGATAATGGAAAGAAAAAGTTGTCTTACTTTTATTGGGCTTCAGACACACTCTGCCAACATGCACAGCCAATAAATAAGAAGCATCTATCCACTGTAAAAATAATAATAAAAAAAACTTTTCATCTGAACCGAAAACATTAGTGCTTTAGGTTTGGACTGGAGGAGGGTTCATTCATGCATTTCTCTTGATTTTTCAGAAATCTGAACGTCAACTGGCAGGATATTTCTAAAATTATGTCCGAATTTGTACAGATTGATGCGGTTAAGACAATCCTTGCACAGGTTTCTGTCTTCAGTCGTGTGAATTGACTGGAAGTGGACAGCTCTTAAAAATTTGACTCCCAACTTCCTATCTGTATTTTTCACTCTGAGAAATGATTTCAACATTTTTATGATTTGGTCACCATATTTCCCCTATCAGGGAACCACTAGTGGATAAATGATACAGATCAAATGCATCTGGGCGTTACAGTGTTTTGTGTTTGCATTTTGATCTTTTTCTTCTGGTTTATTTATATTCTAATGGTCTCCTCATACTTAGTACATTTTTATTGTTTCCATTGCTGCCACATTATTTCCTCATGTTCAGTTTCTTGCTTTATTGTTGTGTTTTGTCCTGCTTCATGCTGTGCTCATGTTTTCATGTTTTCTTGTCATTCCGCTCCATCTGCCAGTTTTTCGCTGCTCATTGGCTTCATTCGGTCCACCTGTGTCTGGTCTGATTGTCTTCCTCTCTCACCTGTTTGCTGAGCTCCTTCAGCGTCTCTGCTTGTGCAGATTCTCTTTGGATTGTGCAGCGTTCTTTGTGCCTTCAGTGTCTGTGTCGCTGTCTGTGCTCCATGTTGGTTTTGTTCATTCATGAGCCTTATGTGTTCATCTTTTAACACTTTAAATATGTACAACCTGAGCAGCTGTCTGTGCCTTGCCTCTCTGTTTCATGATAAAAAATAATATAAGGTTATTAAGTCATCAGAACCTTCCTGTCTTGCCATGTGGGAAGGATTGGATTGGTTTGAAGATCATGTTTCCCTAATTTGATGCTCTTCAAATAAAGTATTGGGAGGAAAAACCATCACAATACATCTCACCTTGTCTTCTCAAATGAGTTGCTCTGCTTTATTTTGAAGAAAGAAGTAAAAGAAAATCAGTTTGCAGAAATGTTGTATTATGTTGATGTGACAGGACAATGTGGATTCTCTGTTCAGCTTCTTAAGCTTTTCATTAAGCTTTTCCTTCAAAAAGAAGGGAAATCAACTGAGTATGTCATTATCAATTTAAAAGTTGAAGGGTTAAAATAGATTATGAGGGGTTTGTTTTATGACCTCATCATTCAAAATGACAGCTAATGGAAAAAAATCCAGCACAGCCTCAAATGTGGAACATCTTCAAGCATCCGTCTGAGGATCAGTCCAAGTTATGCTTATTCATTTTCTATCTTGGCATGCATTCTCTGTAATCCCTCCCTCATTGTTTTAAGGGGCCCAGCAATGTCTGAATTTGATTAGCTCACGCGCCTGTGGATTACAGCCGGTACAGGGGCCTAATTGTCTCTGGCACACAGGGCTGGGCCGGGCCGGGCCTGCTTTACCTTTTATGTAAACAGCGGGGCAGTGTTTAGTCCCACTGTTCTATAACGGTCAGCCATTCCTCTGAGGCCATTCCAGCAACAGTGAGGTAATCCCCCCGAGTCACATAAACATGGATGGTCCTGACTGATTCTTCCGCTCGATTGATCCCAGCTTTCAGCAGATTCATAGAGTCGGTAATGAACAGACAGCAGGCTCTGCAGATAATAATCAATATGAGGACAGGCATGGCTCCCTGCAAGCTCTGACAAAAGTCACAAACAAAACAAGACTCATCTAGTTTATTTCTAGAATCATAAAGGCACCAATCCGAGTCTACAAGTAAATAACAACTCCAAGCTGCTCCAGAAAGAAGAGGAATTCAAAAATGTTAATGTTATCAGTCATGAATAAATAGTAAATAGGGAGCCAATGAAAGGTCATCTGCTGCATTTTGGAGCCCTTGGTTTTTTTTAATGAAAGACAAAATCAATGTACATAATCAAACAGTTCTTTGTAATTGACTTGGAGTCCCAGGTGAGTCCCCTCCAAAAGGAGGTGGGACTTTAGTTCAGCATGAGCTATTGGAGAAGATCTTTCAACTGAATGAATGGATGTCTTGAAGGAAATCTGAAAATGAAATGTTGATTCAGTTTATTTTAAAATGTATTCAGTGGTTTTAGTACATGTAGCATTACACTTACCGATGTTTTATATCCCTATATCTGCCTTTGTTGGTTCCTAATTCAAATATAGATCTTTGACTCCTTTATTCTGGCAATAATAATATTTAGATCAGTTTTGTTGATGAGAATCCTTGTTTAAATGAAAAAAGGTTGAGCATTTCCCTACCCTCCATGAAAATCTTCTGTGCCACCCGATTTCCTTTTTCATCCTTGTTTTCATTTTTATTAAAGGGGTGTCTTGCTGGGGCTTCAGCCAACTTCCCTTCATGTTGGAAATATGATTTACAGTGTTTAGAAAACTGCTTGGCTCTAGAACGAAGACGTGAAGAGGCCACACACAAACAAAATCGCTACCAGCTGAACTAATGTTGACTCTGATGTTATGTCAGAAGTTGTGCTGGCTCTCCAAACACGGTATGGCTCGGCTCCTTCGGTGCTTCCCACCATCATCAGCCGGACCCTTTGGAGACCTGCCGGCCTGCCGCCTGCAGCGGCCGGCCAGCCGGCCATCGCCACCGGCGGTGCCGCTCCCTCTGCAGAGCTCTTTGACCTGCAGTGGGACGCTAGTTCCCCTGCAGACGTTCCAGTCTGGCCATGAAAGACGTCTGTGACATGAGAAGCTTGGGAGAAAAGCACATCGTCGGGGAAAGAGTCCGAAGACGTATCTGAAGTGCAAAGCCTGAGCTTAGAAGAGGAGTTTTAACTGAACTTCATCCTTTTCGGTTTGCTGAGTCTCAGTGGAGCCACAAAGCAACACCTGTTCACTTGTTACAGACATGCCACCTGTCTGCAAGGGGAGCCGAGTGGTAAAATGTCTGTTCCACATCCATCCCTCTGGGCTGAGAGAAAGGACATCTCAACCTCTGACAAAGAATCCGGTTTCATTCTTTAAGTCTTAGAAATAAGGGAATCCCAAAAGGAACACAATGATTTCAA